AATAATAAATATAATAAACAAATTATAAAAAAAAACTCCATGCTTCCACCCAAAATTTCATTTGCTTCAACACTTTAAACTGTGTAAAACCAGAGAAAACCTCTTTAATTATTTAAATAATATAAAATAGCTAATTAATTAACAATTTCTAGCGTAACTAAATATTAGGCAGAATATTTTTACAATTTTTTTGTTTTTTATAGTTAGTGATACTATTTGCTTAATAGCCAAATTTTTCATTGAGATGGGTGAAACCGTCGCCGCTTTGATTCGTTGGCGGAATCCACTTGGCATACTTTTCGCTGTCTTCGTGCTCCGCCAGCTCATTCAGATCCATGTCCACGTCCGACCGCAGCTTGTTGTTGTTGCTGTGGTTGGTTCGCTGCCGTTGACGCTGGCGTCGTTTTCTCTCTCCCTCCGCAGTTTCGCTGGCTGCGTCTATTGGTGCTGTTGCTAGCTCTGCTGCAGCTTCTGTTATTGCTGTTGCCTCATCAGATTCGTTGTTAACTTCCAGTTTATTTGCATCTGACTTCTGCTTAAACTGTTGCGCCTGCTGCTCAAGCTCCGTCTCTTCCGGCAGCAACTCCTGCCTCTCCCCCATCACCAACTGCAGTGGCTGCTTCTGTTTATTCAGCTTTTCCTTCTCTTTCTCCTCCTCCGTTTTTTCTTCCGGCGTCTCCTTCTCCTTCTCTTGATGCTCCTGCTTCTGTATTTGCTTCTTCTCCGTCTCTTCTTCCTCATCCTCCTCCTCCACCTCCTCGTCATCTGCAAATGCATTCACTTTCGCTTTGCTGCTAGCAATTGGCTGCGCTTTGACTATCTTAAATTTACTAAACTGATTTCGTTTGCCAATCATGGGCAATTGCTTCTTGGCCACATTGGCTTCCACCTTCTGCGCATTGTTAGAGGGCGTATCAAATGGCAAAGCCGTTGGCTTAGCAATCTTAATGAGCCGCTGCAGCTTTTGTTGCTCGCTTTTGATGCGCTGTTGCTCCAGCTGGAATTTAATAATTTTCATTAGTATTTATGTATTTTAAACTCTGTCTCAACTCACTCTCAGCTTTTTTATCTCTGTTTTGTCCAGCTGCGTGACATTTTCATTGAGTGTGTCCATGAAATTGTCCAGGTCATCGCTGGCGCTTTGCTGCTGCACGGCCTGCGCCTTCAGACGCTTCTCGTTCTGCTGATAGGCGCCAATCTCCAGCTCCACCTTGGCCAGCTCAGCATCGAGCTCATTCTGCTGCTTCAGCTGCAATAGTCAAATGTCGAAGGGTAATTGAAATACTCTTAAGCTGATATAAATGTTTCCCTTTACCAAATCGTCGTAGGTGAGCGTAACACTGACGTTGGCATTGGCCAGCCGTTGCTTCTTTCTGGCCACATCGCCTGTGCGATCCCAGAACTCGTCCTCATCATCCGAATCGCCTTTGGCCTTGAGCTGCTTGCGCTTCTGGGATTCCTGATTAGCCTGGCGCAGCACCCCATGACGATCGAGCGTGCGACATGCCTCCAGGGCGCACTGCACCACACAGTCCTTCTTGCGGCCCTTGTGCGTGACTTCCACAACTATGGCACGGCCATTGGAGTCGTCGATGGGCAGCTCCACACGGCAGACGAACGAGCCCTGGGCTAGCTCATCGCATTTGTATTCCAGATTGAGGCCTTCGCGTTCAAAGAAACCGCGCAGTGTGCGCTTGGGATCATCGAAGAAGAGGTCTTCATTGTTGGTGCTCGCATATGGATTGTGTGTGAGATCTGTTTCCTCGTCGGCATCCTCGCCCATGCCCCAGCTGGCGCCTTCGTTACGTTCCCTCTCCTCAGCCTCCAATGCTTTGCGCTCCCTTTCAGCCATCGCTGCGGCCACTTGTTGCTCACGCTGTTCACGTAGTTCCGTTACGGTTTGCTCCGACTCGGGTTCCTCATCTTCACCGGGACCTTGCAGTATATACACCCGCGTGCTGCTTCCCATCTTCAGCATGTGGCCAACGCGAATGCGTATGTAGACGCGGGGCGGCACGCGTTGCTTGTTGAGGAATGTGCCATGTGTGCTTCCGAGATCGTAGATGTACCAGCCGGCAGGCTGAGCTGCCTCCTCATCCTCCCCATCACTTGCCTTTGGTTTGTATTGAAGCACTGCATGATACCGCGAAATGGTTGGATGTGCCATGGCTACATCGTTGTCAGGAAGTCGGCCAAAGGTCCAGTAGGCTTGTTGCTGTAACTGCTTGACTTCGTCAATAATTTGTCCGGATTTCAACACCTCAAACCTGTAATCCTGTCCATCATTTGGCGGCTGGGACCACTTGGGCACTTTGTAGGGGCAACCTGTGGCGGGCTGGACTTTAGCAGCTTCTGGATATGGCTCTTCGACAGCAGATTCACTTTTGGTTGATGGGGCGGGTGGTAAAACTGGCACCTTGAAATCATCCATATTGCATGGACGGCGCAACTGTCTCTATTTGTATTTTGTCTATATTCTTGCTTTGAAACACTCTTGTGTATGTTAGAGATGAGTGAAGACATCGGTAATTTGATATACCGATATACACGTAAGCGATGTGCATATTGCCACGATCGCCCTTTTGTCACAACAGGAATATATGTTACAATTCTTGTATATGATTGATCAGCTAAAAGTATTTGTTTAAAAAAGTACACATAAATAATGTATTCCATCTTTTTAGATTTCAATTTGAATTCAATTAGTTTTTACTCATCGATATATAGGGAAAATATCGCAAACTCATCGATACAAATAGCGCATATAATGTGCTAAAAGTACCTAGCCAAAAATTAGGTTGGCAGTCCGCGCTTGAACTTCGCGGCAATATTTTTGTTTTTGTTTGTTTTTATTTTTGTTTATTTTTTACTTTAATTTAAATTGTATTATAATAGATTTTTTATTAAATAATTATGGCATTTTCACAATCGTTCGAGTTTGGCGACAGTACATTCATGAAACTGGAGAATGAATTAAAAGCACCCAGCAGCGAAAGGAGCGGACACAATATCAAGCAGGAAACAAATGCCTTGGAAGTCATACAGGAATCGCCGCCAAAATTAAAATTGAAGTCTCAGCGCATTTACACGCAATCGAAGTCGAATAGATCGAATGTATCCCAGCGCCAGCAATTTCGACGCAGTAAATCCGACTCCAAGCTGGGAAAACCTACAGTCGCAACGAATGGCAGCTGTGAAAGATATTCACAGTTCTTTATGGACAACTTTTCGTATGATAAAAGCCATGAGAAGAAGAATAGAGAAGAGTCACTAAACGATGAATCGTTAATGCGTGTCTCCCAAATTCAGGCCGACTTGGACGCCGACAAATTATCGCTTGAAGGCAGCTGTGAGAATTTAAATACCACCTCCATCTTTGAAGCACAAATTTGCACGGAAGATGTTTTTGGCACGGAGACGGAGCCGGAACCGGAGCATGGGGAGAGCAGAAGCAAGTCACCCATTGAATTGGCAAATTTGGATGAGAGCAGCTTTCTGGCACCAGCCAAGGATCCGCACGCGGCACAACAACTGCAACAGGATCTCATACGCAGCCGCTGCGAACTGGCCAAGCAGAATTTTTGTTACACGCAAAAATGGACCCAAAACCTGAGCAGCATGTCACCCAACCAACTGCACCTTTCACCCAGTTGTCCCGCCGCCAAAGAATCACCCCGACCTCAACCACCTGTGGATCTCAAAGCGCTCAAGCAAATCTCCGCCTGGAACTTGCCGCACAGTGTGCTAGCCGAGTACAAGAAGAAGGGCGTCGTAGAAATGTTCGACTGGCAGGTGGAATGCCTTAGCAAGCCGAAGGTGCTCTTCGAGCACTGCAATCTGGTCTATTCCGCACCCACGTCTGCCGGCAAGACGCTGGTCAGCGAGATTCTGCTGCTGAAGACGGTGCTGGAGCGCGGCAAGAAGGTGCTGCTGATCCTGCCCTTCATTTCGGTGGTGCGCGAGAAGATGTTCTACTTGCAGGATCTGCTAACGCCGGCTGGCTATCGCGTGGAGGGCTTCTTTGGCGGCTACAGTCCGCCCGGTGGCTTCGAGAGCATTAACGTGGCCATCTGCACCATCGAGAAGGCCAATTCGATTGTCAACAAGCTGCTTGAGCAGCGCAAGCTCGAGGATCTGGGCACTGTGGTTGTGGACGAAGTGCATCTCATTTCGGATGCGGGCCGTGGCTACATTCTGGAGCTGCTGCTCGCCAAGATCTTGTACATGTGCCGCAAGCAGGCGCTGCACATCCAGGTGATCACCATGTCCGCCACCTTGGCCAACGTGCAGCTGCTGCAGCAGTGGCTCAATGCCGAGCTCTACATCACGGACTTCCGTCCAGTGGCGCTAAAGGAGATGATCAAGGTGGGCAGTAAGATCTATGACAATCAATTGCAACTCCTGAGGGACCTAAGTCGCACTGCGGATGTGCCGGCACTGCCTAACGATGGGGATCATGTGGCACAGCTGTGCATCGAAACGCTGCTGGAAGGCTGCTCCGTGGTGGTCTTCTGCCCGTCCAAGGATTGGTGCGAGAACCTGGCCGTCCAGCTGGCCACGGCCATGCACACGCTCATCAAATCCGAGAGCGATGTGGGCAAACGACTCCGAGCCCAACTCAACCAGCAGGCCATAGACGAAGTCAAGCAGCAGCTGCGCGACATACCCACAGGTAACTCACCCTATATATACGTAGTATACTATGTAAACTCAACATCATCATTCACAGGCCTCGACGCGGTCATGTCGAAGGCTATAAGCTATGCGTGTGCCTTCCATCATGCCGGACTGACCACGGAGGAGCGCGACATCGTGGAGGCCAGCTTCAAGGCGGGCGCCCTGAAGATTATTGTGGCCACGAGCACCTTGAGCTCCGGTGTGAACTTGCCTGCGCGGCGCGTGCTCATCCGCTCCCCCCTGTTCGGAGGCAAGCAGATGAGCTCGCTGACCTACAGACAGATGATTGGACGCGCTGGCCGCACTGGCAAGGATACTCTAGGCGAATCCATACTCATCTGCACCGACAGCAATGCGCGCATCGGTCGGGAACTGGTCACAGCACAGCTGAAACCGATTAGCTCCTGCTTGGATCTGGACGACAGTGTGAGTAGCGAAACATTCGGATTGAGGCGAAAATCTGAATTATTTCTTATTTTGCAGACGCATCTGAAGCGCGCGCTCTTGGAGGTGATTTCGTCTGGCGTGGCAAGCACCAAGCAGGACATCGATAGCTTCTTCAATTGCACATTGCTCAGTGCACAGAGAAAGCTGGCTGCAGCAGTCCAAGAGCAGCAGCAGGAGCAGGAGGAAGATGAGACGCATTTCATATGCGACGCTCTAGATTTTCTGCTCGAATACGAATTCATACGCCTGCAAACGGATGAGGAGACGGATATGCAGAACTATGTGGCCACGCGGCTGGGCGCTGCCTGTTTGGCTTCGTCTATGCCACCAACGGACGGACTCTTGCTCTTTGCCGAGCTGCAGAAGTCGCGACGGTGCTTTGTCCTGGAATCAGAGCTGCATGCAGTCTACTTAGTGACGCCCTACTCCGTGTGCTATCAGCTGCAGGATGTGGACTGGCTGCTCTATCTGGATATGTGGGAGAAGCTAAGCCCTGCCATGAAGAAGGTGGGTGAGTTGGTCGGCGTCAAGGAGGCATTCCTCGTGCGTGCCATGCGTGGCCAAGCCAAGCTGGACTACAAGCTAATGCAGATCCACAAACGGTAGGCGGAGCAAAATCCTGAAGAGAATCATTCACTCAATTGTTCCATTGCAGCTTCTATACGGCTCTGGCATTGCAGGAACTGGTCAACGAGACGCCCATCAATGTGGTGGCCCACAAGTTCAAGTGCCAGCGCGGCATGCTGCAGAGTCTGCAGCAGATGGCCTCCACCTTTGCCGGCATTGTTAGCGCCTTCTGCAACTCCCTCCAGTGGTCGACTCTGGCGCTGGTCGTCTCCCAGTTCAAGGATCGGCTCTACTTTGGCATACATCGCGACTTGATTGACCTAATGCGTCTGCCCGATCTGAGCCACAAACGCGCACGTGCCCTGCACGATGCGGGCATCACTAGCTTGGTGGAGTTGGCTTCCGCCAATGTGCTCGCTCTGGAGCAGGTGCTATTCGATTCGCTGAGCTTCGATTCAGCCAAACGGCATGAGAATGAGGACGAGCTGCAGGCTGCGCAGCGCAATACGGCCAGAAACTTCTACATCACGGGCAAAGCTGGGATGACTGTGGCCGAGGCGGCCAAGCTGCTCATTGAGCAAGCGCGTCAATTTGTGCAGCACGAAATCGGAGTGGGCAGCATCCAGTGGACGCAGTCAGCCAAGGCAGTCGAGCAGCTGCACATGTCCCTAGAGGAGGCGCCACCAATGTCCGTTGAGCTGAGCTCGCAACGAAAGCGCAAGACGCCAGACAGCGCGGAGAGGCCGAGCAAGTTAGCGAAGCTGGAGGAGCAAGTGCCTCAGTCCATAAAGCAGACAATCAGCAAGAGCGAGCAGAAGTCTGGCAATGCAAAGAATGTGGAGTCAGTAGTTAGAGAAACGAGTCCAGCATCTGTGGTTGGCAAGGCAAGCAATATAAAGAATGTGGTGGGAGCAGCTAAGGGTGGAAGGAGAGTAGAAGCTGTAGACCAGGAGTTAACTCCAGCTGTAGCTGGAAAGGCAAATAATGAAAAAGCAGAAACCAAAGTAGAAAAACAAAGAGCAGCAGTTGCTCCGGATGTGAAGCCAAGTTCAGCAGCTGTAGCCACGCCACCGAAACCCCTGGTGGAGCGCAATCATCGCAGCTCAATCAATATCAAAGAGGATGAGAAGCCCAGCACAAGCGCCGCCAGTCGCAAGGAGCTGCTGCAAAAGGAGATTGAGGAACGGCGACGTGTGGCCATGATGAAGATAAACAAGAAACGCGCTGAGATGGAAAACATGAGCAAGGGCTTGGTTGGGGATGCGCCACCAAGGACAACCTCTGGGCAAACGGCGCTAGCAACCAGACAGAGCGAAAGTGGGAAGGAAAATCTGCCCAACAAGGACTTCAAGACGCCGACAAGACTGACGGAAACCAAGTGCAATAGCGGCAAGGAGACGTTGGCTAAGCAACTGCCACGACGCAGTCCACGTAATCATCAAGGCACGCAGGCGAACAAGCAAGCCGAGGCAGTGGAGCTGGAAAAGAATCAGGAGCAGGAACTCTTCGCTAGCGATGACTCCTTCATGCTCAACACGGGCCTGACGGCTGCGCTGACAGCTGCCGAAAGCAAAGCCCAAGCGGATGCCGATGAGATACCCAGCTCGCAGCCGAAGGCAGGTACTCCAGGCAGCTGCCGAACCCTAGTCTCTAGTCAGTTGCTGCGCTCGCAACGCAGAAGAACTCCCAAGCCGGACGCAGCCAGAGGTGCTCAGCTAAGAGAGCAATCCACAATGAGTGGCGCCTCCTCCAGAGAAGCTCAGCTAAAAGAGCAAGCCAAAGCGACTTCCATGAGAGAAGCAAACTATGTCCAGGAATCGAATTCGGCGTCTGCCAGCGACCACCAATCCACATCGGTTGCTGCCTCCTCCTCCATAGAGCTGTCTAATCTCTCCCTGGAAAACTCCCTGATAAAGAATCCATTGCAGCTGAATGCTTCACACATACTCAGCTGCTCCAAGACGGAGGAGAATGCGTCCAGCTTCAGCAGCATTGACATCGTGGACATCTGCGGCAACAGGCAGCTCTTCCAGATGGCTCTCCAAGAGCTGCTCCAGTCGAAGCGCTGCGGCTTCAGCATTGGCCTCCAGCCGCAGACGGGCAAACGAAAGCCACTCATTGGAGGCAATCTACTCATTAACCAGATGGCAGCTGCGGCAGAGCGTGAGGCGGCTGCAGGCACGACCATTCAGTTTCAAGTGGACGACAGCTCCTATCTGGCGGGAATCGCCTTTTGCCTGAACCACAATGTGGTCTACTACATGAACATGCAGCCAGAGGAGGAGCAGCAGCAGCAGCAGGTTGGCAGTGAGCTGAAGGTGCAGCAGTTGTCCACCCTGCTGAGTCGTCAGGATCTAACACTGCTCTCACACGATGCCAAGGAGCAGCTGAAGGTGCTGCGCCAGGCTGTGCCCCAGCTGAACGACATCCAAGTGCTGCTCGAGGATCCAAAGGTGGCCAACTGGCTGCTGCAGCCAGACAAAACCCTTAGCTTTCACAACATGGTAACAACATAGCTAACAGGTTTCTCCAAGGCTGCCAACTAACCAAATCCAACTCTTCCATTGCAGTGCCAGCAATTCGCGCCGGAGTGCGGAGCGCTGGCTAATCTTTGTGGCAGTGGGCGTGGCTACAGCAGCTTTGGTCTGGACGCCAGCAGCGCGATCATGGCGAAGGTGCGTGCCTCCATTGAGGCTTGTGTCACAGTACACATACTGAACGGACAGCTGGAGAATCTGGAGAGGATTGGCACTGGACAACTGCTCAAGTTCTTCAGAGGTTGGCCAAGTTGTATACCCTTCATTATAAACCATTTCATTCTTGAATCCTCTCCGCAGAGCTGGAGATGCCCATACAGATGTCGCTGTGCCACATGGAGTGCATGGGATTCCCAGCCAAGGAGCACAGCTTGCAGCGCCTCTTCCAACAAATGGTGGCGACCATGAAGAAGCTGGAGAGCAAGATCTACGAGCTGCACGGTTCCCGCTTCAACCTGGGTTCCACGCAGGCGGTGGCCAAAGTTCTGGGACTCCATCGCAAGGCCAATGGGCGCGTTAGCACCTCACGCCAAATTCTGGAGAAGATCGATTCGCCCATATCTCAGTTAATATTGAACTATCGCAAGCTGAGCATGTTGCTCGCGAAGAGCATGCAACCGCTGCTCAAGTGCTGCCAGGCGAACCGGGTACATGGCCAGAGCATCACCTATACAGCCACTGGACGAATCTCTATGTCGGAGCCGAACTTGCAAAATGTGGCCAAGGACTTCCATATTGAATTGGGCAAGGAGCAGCTGAAGATCTCGTGTCGCAGCGCCTTTGCGCCCATGGATGAGAAGCGTTGCCTGCTCTCTGCAGACTTCTGTCAACTGGAGATGCGCATCTTGGCGCATCTCTCGCAGGACAAGGCACTGCTCCAAGTGATGAACTCCACCCAAGATCTCTTCACAGCTATTGCGGCGCACTGGAACAAAATAGACGAATCGAACGTATCCGAGCAACTGCGAAACGGCACTAAGCAAATCTGCTACGGCATCGTCTATGGCATGGGCATGCGCAGCCTCTCGGAGGCATTGAAGTGTACAGAGCAGGAGGCGCAAATGATAACGGATCAGTTCCACCTGGCCTACCCCGGCATAAAGTGGGTGCATTGCCTTATATCTTATCATCTTTGTTTAATATCTGTTTCTATTTGGCAGAGCTTATACCATGAAAGTCGTTAAGTTCGCACGTAACAATGGCTACGTGGAGACCATCACAGGCAGGAGACGTTACCTGGATCACATTAACAGTGGCGAGGTGCAACTGAAGAGTCTGTATATTCAGCATACATGCAAAGCTCTCTTTAGCTCTAACGACATATTTCTTACAGCCCAAGCGGAGCGGCAGGCCATCAATTCGACTATTCAAGGCTCTGCAGCTGATATAGCCAAGAGCGCCATTCTGCGCATGGAGAAGAACCTTAGTCGGTATCGCGAGAAGCTGGGCTTGGCCAAAAACGCAGTAAATCTCGTCTTACATCTGCACGATGAACTCATCTTTGAGGTGCCCACGGACAAGGCCAAGAAAGTGGCAAAAGTTTTAAGCCTAACAATGGAAAACTGCGTCAAGCTGAATGTGCCGCTGCGAGTGAAGCTGAAAATCGGACGTAGCTGGGGAGAACTGCAGGAGGTCAAGGTTTAATACTGGGGACTAAAAGCATCCCTGGAAATTTAGTGACTCGGAAGGATGATGTCAAGGAGAAAAAGCATCCGCTTTGAATCTGCTTGAAGTATGTGCGCGATATGCCCGCAAACCCGAAAATTAATCGATTAAGCAGACCAAGCACGGACTTCCCCTCTCTCCTGGAGCCAGCCAGAAAGCTTAATAAAATGCCAATAAGCCCTTTTTCGCACATGTTAAACGAATACAGGGTATAAAAGAACAATACGCCTAATTGAGAGGAATTTTACAAATAATTTATTACTTTTGAGCTCACATCTACTTTCGGCATCCAAGAGTTAAGCTTATTTACTTTGCTTTTGCTCCCATTCAGTCCATGAGCCAGGATAGGCTTTGGCGCTGCAAATAAACATGAGTGAGTGCTGCACCATTGCAATTGGTATGTATGTATATGTGGTCTTACTTAGCAAATCCAAGCGTTTTGACTAAAATAGCGGCACGCGCTGCCCTGCCACCGGCTTTACAGGAGAAGATCATTTCAGCATCGATCGGCGGCTTTTCACGGCCATAACATTTCTTGAATTCTTCATCGGGCAAGTTGAATGCCTTTTCTAGCTCAGGTACTAGAACATGCACGTACATCATGAGTCAGCATAAAAAAGTCGGCTGGTTAATCTCTTGGTAGCGTAATTACTTACGAGGAATGTTAATGCTAGCAGGCAGTACACCAGTTTCTTCTAGTTCGGATTTATTACGTACATCGAACAAATACTTATGCGGTTGATTTGGTATATCTTTCACTTCCTCGTAGGTGGCCATTATAATCAAGTTATTAAATGCGAGAGAAAACCAGAGAAGCGAATTTACTTTTGACTATCAAGGAAAAGCCGGTCGGTTAGTATGCTAGATTAAAACATCGACTCTAGCTATCGACTATCGAACACTGCCAACTTGACAAGCAACGCAGTGTGACCATGCAGCTCATGAAAAATAACGCCTTTTCGTATGATTGATTTTCAAAATACATTTTATTCGTAATTTACAAAATGTTTTTAAATGTAATTTTCATTTTACAAGAATTCACTATATATGTGGCGAAGGCATTCAATTGCACAATTTTCATTGCATCTGGGTTAAATTAAACATGATATTGCAAATAAATATATTACTTTAGTTCGATTTCAATGTGTATATATATATATATATATATACATATAAATATATATAAAATATGTGTATCAAAAGTAGTAGTACTTTCACTAACATCATGCATTTTCAATATCATCGAACAAGTGTTTATTATCATTATTATGCACTTTACTCTTAAATCAACATTTGAAGTTATTTAGTTATAGGCAGCACTTATTATATAGAACTGTATTATTATTATAATTTGTTGTTTTACAATTCCACTAGCTAGTTTTTATATATATTTGTAATTCTTTCTCGCTTTACAATTTAAAATTGATTTGTTATCCAAAAATAGTTGATGCTGTGTTTGCATTTTTTCTGATATTTCTTTAACTTACAGTTTTTTATAACGACAAAATAAAGTACATATAAAAAAGAATTTCTGCGAAACGAAAAACGTATAACAAACACGAGTGCAGCATTAATATTTTGCCAACGGTTTGACGAAGGCAACATACTTCGTGTGTGCGAATATTCCTCATATGGTTCGGTGACGATTTCGGCATTAAGCGAAACGTTTTGATGGTGGGACCAAATGCTCGGGCAATGTAGTTGGCAGCTCACAGCCATCGAGCTTGACATTGATTAAGTGCAATGCTAGCGCGAATTCATCACTATCCAAAAAGCCATCGCAATCAATATCCGACAGTTTCCAGATTTTGCTAAGCACAGAGTTGGGCAGTTTTGATTTGATGAGCTCCTGCTTGGCAGCTGCAGTAGTGAAAGTTCAGATGTTAGAGTAATCTTTCAATATTCAATGATATCTAGAATACATACTTGAGCCAGAGATTTTGCCATCGACCGGTCCCAGCCCGTTGAAGATGGCATCTGTGCGTGGCTTATCCTTGTTGCATATCCACTCGTGCTCCCCGTAGCCAGCGTCGATGCCCTCGCCCTTCATGTAGCCGAATGGTGAGACGTTGTCATCGATGACGCCCTCGAACGCACCACCTGCAAGAAATTACAGAGAAAGAGGAAATGAATTTATGTTCCGATAAGAATAATATTTACATTTATATATCGCTATCTGGTCAATTTATTGAGTATAGCTATTTATATTTTTATTGAGTATGTAATCTAATAAATTTCACATCGATAACAGTGGTATGCCTTTAGCTCCTTCTCTAGGAAAGCAATGATGCAATGTCTGTTGATTAACCATGTAATCTAATCAATTACATATCGATAACAATGCTATCAGTTCATCTCCATCTCCAATAACGGTCAAGCAATACAAATGCAGATATTCATTAAGCATGTAATCTAACTGGTTCACACACACACACGTACGTACACACGTTCAATTGGGCGCAATTAAAAACCTTCAGTTTCGTTTAGGCTACAATTGAGATGCCGCCACATCGTGACCAACATGCGAGAGACTTAAGTACGCACTTGGTCTGCGCCCCTACCTCAACAAGTGCAACAATAAGCAGCCCTGGCGCATAGTAAACGAGCTTGACGCAGCATGCCGCAATTGCAGTGTTTGCATACCCTTCCAGAACATTATTTACTCTTTGGGTGCCATTTGTAACACAAAGTAGAAGACATCGTCCATCAACTGCTATAAGGTGCATTATAATGGCTTATTGTTATCTCATCTTATCTTTCCTTTCTTTTTTCTCTACTCTTCTCTTCACTTGGCGTCAAGAGTATTTGCTTTTCGGCGAACCGAAGTAAATTAGTTATCAATTTGCAAATCTTTAAACCAACAGAAATAGGTACATTATATTGGCTTGCTTACATCAATAGCTGTCTCTGGCTCTGGCTCTGGCTGTGGGGAATCGAGTTTGGAGTCGGGGTGGACGATTGTCTCAATTGGCTTTGCGTTGTCTGTGTCTGTGTCTGTTTCTGTGTCGTTCTCGATATGGCCTACTCTACTAGTGCAGCTGCTGAACAGCCGAAGCTGCTGCTGGCGCAGATTTTGCAGCCAGCGATCGAAGCGCTCCGCAAATTGAGCACTTTGTGTGCCAGGGGTCAGAGCCTGGGGCTCCTTCTCCTCCTCCAATTCCTCCTCATCCTCTGTGACACAAATGCATAAAAAGAAATTAGAACGAGAGAGTGAGACAGAGACAGAGACAGGGATAGAGAGAGTTGCTGGTGCAAGAGAGTGACAAGGAGGTTACCCTTGCTTCAACTCCTTCTCATCCTCTTCTGAGTTACAAATGCATAGAGTGAATTCTTTCAGAGTGTAAGATAGGCAGATTTGCTGATGCAAGAGCGTGACAAGAAGACTCCTCTTACGCCAGCTCCTTCTCCACTCCCTCTCTCTGTCTAGCTATGCAAATGCACACAACGAAATTACAGCAAGAGTAAGACAGAGACAGAGCGAGAGTCAGAGCTGCTGGTGCGACAGCGTGCCAAGGAGTTCACGTCTCCTCTTTCTGCTCCCTCTTTGCTAAACAAATTTACAAAACGAATTAAGAGCGAGCGAGAGAGAGGGGCACTGAGTTGCTGGTGCAAGAAGGTGACACAAAGCGTTCAAATCATTCTGACGAACGTTGGAAAAATCTACAACTAAATAAAACAAAATTAGTGTGCCATTGTCAAAGTAGAGAAGAAAAGAATTGGCCAACTAAAAAGAAGAAGAGCTCGAAACAAGAAAGCTCGCAGAGTGGGTTGAAACTTTTTAGCGACTTCTTGCTAAACATTGTGATGTTTGCAAATGTGTTTGTCATACAGTACAGACACACACACACGCATACATACATATGTATACTATATATGCAGTTATGATAGAAGATGAGCGAACAAAATAGACGAAAACTAAAATAAACTTGTCGAGAGCGTGTGGAAATTTAATGAAATTTGCTTGCCTTGAAGCACGATCTGTGACAAGTGTTAGTGGAGAAAAAACTATTAAGGTTTGTAGACTATCTAGATAGCTTCCAGTTATCTGAGCATAGCATAAAATCAAGTTTGCTTTAATTTAGTTGTGATGATGGCTGCAAAATTCTATAACTGCTTCTTACTATACATACATACAATATATGTACGTATATTAAAAATCTTCATATTCTATACTGTCAATGCGTGATATTACGCCTCTATACACTTGTATCACTGAAAGAAAAACTATTTCATTCAAAGGTCATTTGCCCGCTTAAAATACCAAACAAATTTGAACGGAAATGCAGCGAGAGACGAAATGACAAACAAAGGCACAAATCGGAAAATCAACGAACAAATGTAAATAAACGATATCTAAGAAAAAGAGAGAGAGAGAGTGAGAAACGACATCAGAACCGGCACATTATTCAAGAGAAACGAAATTAGCATCGGAATTGACGTGTCGAGTGTTCTTGACTTTGATTTTTCGCTCTGCTCAGCTCCGATTCGTTTCTTATGTCGACTTATCAGCGCATTCTTTTATTTCTTTTTTATTATTTGGTGGGTATCTTTAAACGTTGCCAGTCCAGCCCCTCTGTCAACTGCTGGGGTAATTCCAACAAGTTCATTCACTTGTTCCCTGCATTTTTGGTATACCCTGCAGAGTCAGGGCATTTTAGTTTAATGGCACAATTTGTAACAGAAGTTTTCGTGCTTCACACGAAATTATAATGGTACTTTTGCCCATTGTGCATCGAGCGAGTATCATACAGTCATATAGAGCCGATTGTACAGGTTTGTTTCTTTTTTTAAGGCTACTGCGAAACCAACGTAATTTAATTGAGGGAAATATTTGGTCAGGCATGACGCATTTATAAGCCGATCGAATGACATCAGATTTGATAGCTTTGGAATTGGGTTGGATTATATGCACATACACATATATATATATATGTGTATATGTATGTATCTATATCTGTCTATATAGTATGTGAATAAATAGCGATGTGGCAGTCAAGTGGGCCTTCAGATTAGCCACTCGCCCAGAGCTTAAAATGCCTTTATAAAATAGTTCTCTAAATACAGACGGGGCAAATCATCAAATAAATGCTTTCATCCTGCACTT